TTCCATGTACACGGACTACTTATTGATATTACGAGGGTCCGGTCTCTGTATATGAGGGTAACCAACTTTGCAGGTGGAGTCCGTGACAACCGATTTCGACCCTCTTATATCGGAGCCCCCTCTAGGGTACCCTCTTACTTCATATCGGAGCCACGGCTGTGCCGCAAGGTGGACTGGCGCCCAGAAATACCGCACCTCCTGAACCGATTGTGTTTCGACTTCTAACTTTGTCGGAAAGCTCTCGACTAGACGGTTCCAACACATATATGTTCGGCAACGCCACTGTCTTCGCTGCAGAGTATTTGAGGTGTGACAATCTTTCGTAACCTGCTTTACGGTAGATGGGACGAGACAAAAGAAACAAGGCATGCCGCTAAAGCTTTAGGCTACACGTGAAACTGCAGCGGCATATCGAACGTCTCAATGGCGCGGTTGTGAACCGCTTTCCCGGGATAAAAGGCCCAAGTTTACGGAAGAAGAGCAGTGGCGCAAGCTCTCTGACAGGGTCATGCGTGTCTCTTATTCGTTACAATCGTTGTACCGCAGTAGAGGAATAAGTAGGATGGACAGCACAGGAGTACATGATTTCATGCATGTGAATTTCAACATGTTAGCCGGTCGCCCCCGTGGTCTGTGTAGTGGTTGACCTAACAAGCAGCAGGATTCTCTCTGGAGCACGAAAACAGATGAAATTTGCCGCGGAACTCACTATCATTGTTGAGCAGTACATAAACACCATTCGACTTCACGTTTTGGGTGGGATTGGGACGGCTGACCCTTGTCGCGATAAAAACATACGGAACATAAATTGAAAGAGGGAAGGGCATTAAAGCAAAACATGACGTAAAAGGCTGCTGAGTGACCTTCTTACTGTGTGAACCCGGCTGATGCGCCAAATATATACACCACCGAAAGGTCTGTAGACCACTACCACGTGTTACACTGAAAGGTGCGTAGACTACCGTTGCAGAACACACCGAAATATGTGAAGACCGGCGCCAGAATAGATGGGACGAATGCACAACACACGAACAAGACAAGGTTGTTCCCCCTCGAACTGGTTCTTGCTATCTCAGGAGTAGACAAAGGTGGATCCTGTGTAAATTTTCGTTTTTTGTTGTTGCGCGCTGAAAATCGTCTTGATATGATCACATCAGAAGCGTCGGATGCCCAGAAACCAGCTGCAGACAGCTTAAAAATCGATCCGAACTCGAAATTTTGAAATTTTGGCGGGTCGAAAACCGGCCATGTTCGGAGATGTGGTGGTTGGCTGCTCGAGCTCTCTCTCCATGGGAAAACTGTACCAGGTAGGGTATAACCCCCCCAAAACAACGGATTTTACTCGAGTGTGAGCTGGTCTGTTGTTCATTTGTTTTAATAGGAAACAGACAAAAGTGGGTGTACCCACCCATTTCTCGGACAAAAAAGGGTACTCGAAATTTTGCTTTGCGGAGACCACTCATGACAGGGCCGAACCACTCAATATCTCGTTCCGATGCCTGGACAGCATGGACCGGGCCCATGCACAGCATGAAAATCGATTTTGGCGGACTTTCGTGGATGTCCTTACCCCACACACCGCAAGGCCTCAATAGGTTGCCCTTTGTTGTAAAAAGAAAATGACCTCCACGTAACTGCACGGGAGAACTTGTCGAATGAAAAAACGGACAAGAGTGGGGTACATTTCGGACAAAGGTGGGTCACAAAACAGACAATAGTGGGTCCATAAAAACATCGTTCATTTCGGTGGGAATGCCTACCGGAATTTGGGACGAAAAGGGCACAACCTGTTGAGGCCTTGTGCGCCACGGCGGTGTGTGGGGTGAAGGCGTGCCCGAAAGTCCGTAGGCATCGGGATGAGATGTTGAGTGGTTCGGCCCCGTCACGAGTGGTCTCCGCAAGGCAAATTTTCGAGTACTGTGCCCACTTTTGTCCGAGAAAGGGGTCCCCTTGGGTATACCCACTTTCGTCTATTTAAAAAAAAACTCCGCCTATGTCGTGACAGCTGAACTCCGCCTATGTCGTGACAGCTGACTGAGCAGACACATATGAACAGACCAAAGTACAGCATTCCCGATCGATTGAGATATGCCCGTCGAGAGACGAAAGGTCTGACCCGCCTTGTCCGCGCCAGATCGATTGAGGCGTCCGCTGACCGCTTGGTCCGGTTTCCGCGAGCGGTCGAGACAGACGCGAGTGAAGACATGAAAAAGCGGTATTGATAAATACAGGCAATCATATATCAGAGTTCCAAAGATCCTGCCCCGGTCCCCAAAGTTTTGAATGTACAATAGCCCAGACATATGCATATGGGCTGAGAAGATGAGAAGATGTTCGACATGTGCGAGCCGAGAGACTGGGGTAAAAATTGAACGGGAGAGAGAGCGGAGTGGCGAACGGTTTCCGCGACCGGGCGAGACAAACGCAAGAGACAGACGCGGAGTGAGAAGACAAAAGCGGAAATAGCGGAATAATATCAATGCGCTCCAAAGATTCCGGAGAGATGGAAATGCAGCTCTGTGAGAGGTCAAGATAGCCAAGAGTGAGCGCTCTGAGAGCCTCAGAGGATTTTCTGCTACAAGCTTTCTTCCTGGGCTGGAAACGACAAATTATATAGATGTCCTGCATCACCTTGTTGCGCACTTAATCGACTTGATCACACCGAAATGAGGCCGTTGGGTTGTAATTCGTCTGTATTATCTCGATTACCAAAGCGTTGCCAGTGATGAACATGTTATCTGCAGAGGCCGCCACATGTGCCGTGGATGCGTACCACTTTGGCCGGAAGTAAGAGCCAATTGGGAAATAAGGAACCATATGCCACGTTGGGCAAAGGTGATGCCATTGTGCAATTTCAACATTTGTTGTACAATTTTTCAAGCAGTTTTCGTTACCGGGATACAATTGGGGGCTCGATGAGTAATACCAATCTTTCCCCGTTGTGAGCAGGGTACGCCTGAACATTGTCCCCGGGGTTTCGTCATCACCGTGGGAAACTTTCGCGTGTTTTTTCCGATTTTGTGCTGGGTGAATCTATTTTCAAATATTTTTGTGCTTCGGATTCCCGCAACGAACCACCCAGTAGTCGCGTTTGTGCGAGAACCCCTGATTTCTACCCTCGAAGAGCTCGTTCTGGTGGGGTAGCGAAAATTCCGATCAGATTCGTTCTGGACACCTTCGCGGCAACAACTCCATCGGCTAACATGTCGGTCATTATTTTGTATAGGACGCCCTTTTACTTCATGTTGCCGTGACGTAGCTCAGTTGGCCAATAATTCAGGTGGTGCTATGGAGGTGATTTTGGTGCCATATGCTACCACCTAGAAGTACCTATAATAGTACAAGCAACGGGCCGATAGTCTCGTGGGAATGCCTCCAAAACAGATGTAAGAAAGCCGTTCAATAATATGTTGGAACTGACCGAGCTATTGCGGAGGGTGTCCAACGATGGCTGTATTGGATTTGTTTTGATGCCGCGAGTCTTGTGCTCGTTATATGGTATCATGAGAGCTCAACTCCATTGTCCGTGTCGTGTTTGAGATTGCTCCCATCCTGGCATGTGTATCTCTGCGTCCCGCTCAGGTTGGGCCTCACAGTTTTTTCCAATCGGCCTTGGACATTGTGAGGTATTCCGTACACTAGGTTCCCCGGCTTGATTTGTCCTCGAACCATTACAGAACGTTGAAGCCGGATCCCTGGAAAACGTTCTCTTTGCGGAATATCAATTTCGAAGAGCAGCGCCGTTCGTTTGGAGCTCTCCGACGTTCCTTCCAAAGTGATTTAGATGAACCCAGCCCATCAATCAGTCTTTCGCTGCACCATCTGCTGCTACAGCTTTGCCTTAAGCCACACAACGCGCCACCACTTTCTGGACAACTTCCTTCTCAATTTCCCGTTATTATTGCAGCCAAACTGCACAACATTTGACACATTCATGCTACGGAGTGCTCCTCGACGCTCTTTTCATAGAAACAGTCGTCCAAGATGTCTGTCCAATCCTCGGCATTTTATATCGTTGCGCGTGCATGTTCTCGCCGTTTTGTTTGCTGTTCTTTGCGTTTCTCCTGCTAACCAATATGGACCCCAACGGACGACGGTTGTTTGTTTCCCTCCGCTTTCTTGCATCGCTTGCCGTGTTCAAACACGCAAGACCCCAACTTCCATCGGCGGGATGCATAATATTGTTCAAAACTGTTTGATGGAGTGACGACCACGGCCTGCCTCACGGCAGCTGTAGGCTTGCACCCGACACAAGTCTACTTGGCATCTGGTCAACAAGTGAACAGCCACAACGATTTCCCGATCCTTGTGTCGCAAGTAGAGGGGTGCGGAATGACGATTGGAACACAAATTCATAACCAAGACACCCTTGTTCAACACAGCAGGTTTGTTTCAAATCAACGTCCTGTTCGCTATCCATGGTGACATGATTCACAAATCCGTATATGCATATCACATATGTTCCACATCCTGTCTGATGACATCTCTCGCAAGTCAGCCTACCCTACGGTGTGGCATACTCGGGTCAGGGGGAGATGACACAATACAGAAAATCTCTTGTGCCTTAAGGGTCTCCCGAGGCTCCTTCTGCCGTTCTTGTCTTCGAACAGTGAAGCGGGAAGGGCATCAACTACTGCTAGGTCACTTGCTAGCGCTTCCGTGTATATAGGACAAAGATAACTCGTAGTTCCTGCCGAAAGTCGAACCAACCCTGGACCATATCCTAGGCCACAAATTGACCCTAGATTTTGGGCAGCTCAAAGCCGCATCATATTGAGTCAGGAGGGTTGATATGAACAACGTCCGCTAAGTCGCGGGCATTTTTAGGCCAACCGCGGGCACGCAACATGTGGCCGTCGACCGGGATTTTTTTTTAGAGAAGAAAGAGCCAACATGATTGTCCGATCTATTTGCACGGTTCTACGTTGAAACCTCATGTTGCTTCCTGCCACAACACTGCATGCATTTCTTTCGTGCGCACTGGCACGTTCTCCATCCAGAAATATCTTGCGTGAACTTCTTGGTCAAGTCCCGCACGCATAGGAGAGTGTCGTCTTCACAAGCAACCCGGCGGACGGTGAGTGGGAGATTCTGTGATTCTCGGATGTTCTCTTGTCGAACACAACACTGCGCGGATGTGTTGGAGAGGTGGAGCAGCGGGGGAGTTCTGGACACACCGATATTGACTCGTACGTAGGAGAACGGCGTTCGTCGCTGTCTCAACCGGTCCAGAGGTCCTGCTACCTAAATGCTGTCCCTTTCTTGTACGCGAGATCATAGTGGCCTGTCCTGTTGTATCGGCGGGGTGTGGGACAAAACACCGGGAAGATATCCGGCGCCGATATTTGTTGTGTGATTTGTTGTGTTAACAGGGAAGTTTGCGCAATTTTGATTCATGTACATTTCTTGTGCTTTCCGGTCGAACTTCAGTTTTTTAATTGCGTCGACAACAACCAGCTGTGCGCTGATCACCTTCACGTACTCGATTCTGGTGTGCTATTGGCCGAGATCGAAGCAAGCCAGTCTTGATCCTGTACACTGTCCATGCTCCCGTGTTAATTCAGTTGCTCATACACCCCGCACATCTTTTCTGCATGCAAGTGCGAGTGAACGTACAGCGTGGGGTAGGTCGGAACGATCGCACACGGGTGCGAAAAAAGACAGCTAACAATGAGGTGCTTCGGTTTTCGCTTCGGGGTCGTAGTTGTGACAACCCCACTTTCGGGCGTGGTTTGCTTACTACCGCGAGTGAGCCCAGAGCACATGCGGAGCTGCATTTGTTATTGTTTGCGTGTTTGCCTCGCGGCATGTAATCGGGGACCCATTGCTGTGTGTGTATTGCAGAGTGGCGGTGCACCTGTAACGTGAGAGTTTTTGATTGAATCGGTAAACAAACGCGGCCACTCAACCAAGCAACAGAAAGCTGTACGTCCTGCAAACTAAAACATCGACAGCCAAGAAGAAAACTGGAATGCACATGCTTCATTTTCAGCGGACAATCGGGTCGTTGTTCAGTCTTTGCACGCTGTCACAAGCAAATTCGCAATCTACCAATGCTATTAATAGTGCTCCCAGCGTGACTTCAGTTCCGCCGTTTTCGTCACCTTGTCTGGTGTTATGTTTAGTGTGTTTAGTGGGTTATGTTGTACCTGCTGGTCAACCGCTCGCAGGTCCTCTCAAAGCAATATACAGGTAGTACCAGTAGTATTCACGCGTCGGGGGTGTGTGCGTGACATTATTTGTGTCACCGGTGTTTTTTATGCAACCTCGTACATATCGGAGTTGTCGCACAGGGGTGCGGAAAATGTAAGAGGGATGATTAAGAAATGGACCGCACACCTGTGCGTTTACCGCCACTTAATAAAAGGCTTTCCACTGGAGCACAAGGCCGGCTTTCTGACACCACCACTGTCCCGTCGCCACTCACCGCTGTCCCTGTACGTGCAGCGTGGTCCTTCCGCCAGATCCCTCCCCGATTCGATGCAGATGTTGTGCACACGAAACGAAGATATTATTGTCGCCGTTTTCTTCGACGTCAAGACCTGCGTCACGACATCGACCGAGAACCAGGGTAGCGTGAGGCAGTTTATAAACCAGGCAAGTGTTTCGCTGGCATGCACAATCCATCTCACCCCGCTCATCATATCTTGGGCCGACCAATGCTCAGCTCATCAAGGGTCAGTTTTCCGTAGGCGTTGGTTATACACCGAGTGGCCTATATTGTAGTGAGGTTGGGGATCTCTTGTGAACTTTCAAACTGCGGCAACTTCGATTTATTTGTTAATGACCTGAATAATATTTTGTACAAACTGGTTCACGGAAATGAACCCAAATTTATTCAACCACCGCTGCCAAACGAAATATGTACGCAGCATTGACATATCTTGTATCATAGTGACCCCCATGAGCAAGGAAACAAATTACCGTGGCCGGAATTTTACAGAGCCGTGGCCACAATGCAACGGGCATAAACGTGTCTTGGCCAATCAGAAGCCTTCAACATGATGTAAAAACTAATAATACATGTCAACCCGCACTTCCGACCTCTTTCTAACGACCTCTTTCTAACGCAGTTTTGCAACAACGCAATTCCCATGCTCTAGGGAACTTAAGGGCAAAAAATATAGAAACCGGCCATTGTGGAAGCGAGTTATGCCCAAAATGGCGGTTCGGCTGCCGAGAATTGGCGTCGTCGAATTTACACGGAGGAGGGATTGTATATGGGAAAAATACAGTCTCGTGGTTGGTTTGCCTTGTATCGAAGTATTGATGATAGTGCTCAGATTTTGATAGGATGGTGCAACAAAGTCCCGCAAACCGCAAAAGAAAAATGAGACGATGTTTACACTGCTGACCGGCGGCGTATTGGGATCCCGGTGTGGAACCCCCAAAAGCTGGTTCCAAGTATTTGCACACTTCTTTTTTTTTTCCGCTGCGGGTAGTTCAATGATCCTTTCCAAGAAGTTTTGTAGTACCACTTCTAAAACTGGCGCAGTACGGGGCTTTGCAGTGAAAAAGCCCCCCCCCGCGGACCTGATTAGTATTTGCTAACAGTAGTTTGGGGGAAAATCAGGATGGGGGATACTTCATGGCACAAAAGCTGAAAACTTCACACACCATTTTTAGGAGTTTGGCCTTGATTTGAAACTTTGCACACATGTACATTAGGTTGGTGCGAAACGCTGTGCGGTGGGGCCTTTTTAATCTTCTTCCATGGTCGCCGGTTATTCGGTGTCCCAGGAGCAGCATATGACCCCGAAACCTCTAGGACCCCGGATACCCGGCGACAGGGGAAAAAAATGAAAAAGGGCCTCCACACGGCGTTTCGTACTAACCCATTGTACAGGTATGCAAAGTTTAAAAGTCTAACTCCTAAAAACGGCGTGAAGTTTTCATGTTGAATATTCTTGTATCCATTTCCTTGAACCAGCTTCTACGGCAAACAACTTCCGTTTCTCCTGTACCTCTCTTTAACCGTACCTAGTTAGGATGGTATTGTATGGTCCGGTTAGGCGTTAGAGGCTGCTCGACCATGTACATAGCGTCAAGCAAGGTTGAGTGGATTATCGTCTCCGGCCTGGCGTAGATGCCTACAACCCACCAGTGTCAGGGCGTGTACCCGAACAGATTTTTTTCGTTTCCTTTATGTTTTGGAACAGGGGATATCCCCCACTATCCGGTGTGCAACCATACACCACGCGGCAAAGATGGGCGGTTTTGAAGTTTGGGACACTAGTACCATTTGTTGCAACCCTATACAATAGCTGAACAAACTGCCCGAAGTCTCTTCATTGGCACTTATCTCAAAGCTAGCTTTATATCACCTGTCAGATGTTTTGCGATGTTTCGCAGTCTTAAATGATCGTCGCGTGCTGCTGTATTGTTCTGCACTCTGTCTCGTGCTTGTTACTTTCTTTGGCTTCGTGTTGGCCGTGTACACGGGTCAATGTAAGGGTTTACCTCCTTTATGCGGACCCATGCTTAGCTAAGCTCTTGACGCGCTTGTCAAAAGAGTGAAGCCGGACATCAGTGTGGTATTGACGTAGTTCGTACTACGATACAATCAACCACGCTTGAGGAGAATGTCTTATGAGTTTTCGAATAATTGTTCCGCTACCGTGTAGTCTCATTCTGTGAATGTGCGCCTGACTCCGGACCATGATTGCAGTATTATTCGAGAAAATCGTAGTCATGAGTACTACTTGGTCCGTGCTGAATGTGGATATCCTTCGAGGCCATCCATAGCAAATTCTCGCTGTTTCGGTACGTTGCAACCCTCCAAAGGTTGCATCAAAAGGTGTCGTCATTAGTGATGTGCCCCCTCCGTTTCGCATCGCGTTCGCTGACCAGGTCAAGAATTCTTTTTGTGAGACTTTCGCTGGGAGAGTTGCATCTCTGCGACCAACACTGAAACAGTGCGCCGATGGAGACATGAACGTGAGCATTTTACGGGTTATTGTTGATTGATTGACCGAACTCTTTGCATCATCTTACCCACATGTGTGCAGAAGGCAGTCAAGTCAGCAGGTGTAAAGAATACATGTTTTTTTCGACTCATGTACTGCTGTAGACACGCACAGTGATGGGTGTGTCTACGCGTCTGCTGCAGCTTTTGGACTGAATGAAATAACGTATCGCATGTTTATACAGAAAAACAGCGGACGTACAAGTCGCCCCGGTGGTCTAAATCGTGGGTACCCTTGTGCACCTGCTAGGGGTTTGAGTCTCTGTTGGGAACAAATTTGATTTACGCAATACGAAGCAACACACTTTGCTGAAAACCCCGTCGCGCGTTAATATTGAGAGCACGCATCATATGTAGAAGGAAAGAGAGACAAAAAAGTAAAAACAAAAGTAAGTACCTTCCTTTTGGGGTGTGATCCCGGCTGCACATTACTTGAAACATATCGTATGAAATCGTAAACAACCGGATTCTTAACCCAACAAACATCAAAATCCAGGATCGGCAACATCCCGGCTTCTTATTCAGCCGGATTTGTCACTTTTTCGGGTCGGCAAAATCCGACTTCAGCTTTTTGGGTTGCCGCCGCCCAGAAAGTTGGGCAGAATCCAGGATGGTGCCCAGCCCAATTTTCTGTCCTACAAAATTCATCGCTGGTGAACCCAGTCGACATCATCGGGGAGTGCCACCTGAGGTCTTGACGTACAGTTAGCGCCCGCAATTAAGAAATATATTTAAAAGAAATATAGGCTCACTTTTTCACGAAAAATAAGAAAATAGGGTTAAGAAACAGCTCAATCTGGGTCACACAATAAGAAATGTCTCAGTAAGAAACACAGCAGCGACCACTGCCCTATTACATAAGAAACGAGGGGTTACGGGGGAGTGTGTCAAATAAAAAACAAACCCCACAGCTCTCTCGCTGTTTCCCCCTCTCCCCCTACCCCCCCCCTCCCATAGTGCATTACTATTAGGTGTACGTCGAGGGGGGAGTGTTTTTTTTTTGCGGCGCCCCCTCCGGCCCCCTGCGGACTCTGCGCTCTGCTCTGCTGGCGCTGAAGCTCTGGCACAGCACACCAGACAGGCTGCGAACCACGACATGCTGTCTGCTGTACACGGCTTTGATGGTGCTCTCCGCCAGCTCTCGTGAGGGCTTGACCAAATAAGAAACATGATATAAAAAACTGAACGACATACGCTGTATTTTATAGCCCACAATAACAATACGAGGCTGGACCTGAAATAAGCGTTTCTTAATTGCGGGCG